ACCACTACGCCACCACCGGCCGCCGCCGCCACCAAGCCCCCCGCCGACAGCACCAGGCCGTCGCCACCACGCCCGCACCGCGCGCTCGGGCCTCCTTGCGGACCGCTACCTCGCGAACGTGCTGCTCCCCTTCTACGTCCGCCTCCTAGGCCACCTGCCACACGCGCTTGCCCAGGCCGCCGGTGAGGGAGGGGGGGGCGGATCCGGGGGAGGGGCGCCGCCGGTGAGGGAGGGGAGGGGCGGGGCAGCGAATCCGGGGGCGGCGCCCGGTGAGGGGGGGGGAGGGACGGGTGGTGGATCCGGGGGAGGGGCGCCGCCGGTGAGGGAGGGGCCGGGGAAGAGAGGGAGGGAGGGGCCGACCGTCGGCGGGAGGAGGGGAGGCGCCGGCCGCATGCGGGAGAGGATGGGAGGGAGCGAGCTAGGAGGGGGTGTGTGCGTGAGGGAGGGGAGGGGCGGGTGGGTGATTTTAGGGGCAGGTGGGTTTTTTCTTCATTTGTTTGCTTTGTCGAGTGTTGTTGTTGGACACTTGGTAAACCTCTCTTTTTGCCAAGTGTTTTTTAGTGACACTCGGTAAACCTCCTATTTGCCGAGTGTTTTTTGTTTGACACTCGGCAAACCCCCCTCTTTGCCGAGTGTTTTTTTTGCCGAGTGTTTTTAGGATAGCACTCGACAAAGAATCACTACCGAAGACGACTTCTTTGCCGAGTGCTTTTTATCGGGCGCTCGGCAAAGAGGCTATTTGCCGAGTGCCAGAGAGAAAGCACTCGGCAAACAAATGGCACTCGGCAAAGAGGTGGTTTGCCGAGTGCCGAGCACTCAGCAAACAATAACACTCGGCAAAAACCAGATTTGCTGAGTGTCGGGCACTCGGCAAACCGAAACACTCGGCAAAGGGTCGCCGCCGTTAACGGCCGGCAGCCGCCGTTAATCCTTTGCCGAGTGTCTTCTGCTAACACTCGGCAAAGTGGTGATTTGCCGAGTGTCATTTTTTGACACTCGGCAAACCATATTTTTTTCACTTTTCACATCCAAACTTTTTCTGCAGTCCTCATACAATACCTGATACTCCATGTTCCAATGTGGCACATTTTTTGGACTTTTTCTATATTTCTTTAATTTATTTCATTTAATTAAATTTTCTTGGATAATTCAAATTATAACTGCTAGTCATTCAAATAATAAAAAAATGAATGGAAAAATGATATTCATGTTATTTAGTATAATGTGAGGCCGTATCAACAACAGACCACAAATTATTCGTGGTTTATTTAGTACTTTGTCACAGAATATACAATGTTATCATCACCGGTCATCATGCTGGAAAATATGCATACTAGATTCTGTCGCGTTCAGTACTAGATTCGGTACGTTGTTGTTCAGTACAGAGACGACGCAAAATATGCATAAAGTTCCCTCGAAAAAAATATGAATATAATTCGTGTGTTCATGAAAAGTAAAAAGTTATGCATTGATGAAGGTCTGCTTTTTATGTACTGATGAAGTTATGCATTGAATGAAGCTTCAATGAAGGGAAGGGTTAAACAGTGGCTAGCTGTGCTCTTTGAAGAAGATCTATAAATCATGCATGCATGTAAACGTGCATGTGTATGCTGAATGGCAAATGACAGAGTTATACCAAGAATCCAAAATTAATGCAGCTTGCTGGTCTTTGATCTTGTGTATGTGTGTATCAAGTAGTTAGATTTCGATCTATGGAGTGATACGAATGCTACATATATAAGTTCTAGTCAAAACTGCTATCTATCGAAATACTGTGGATCAACTCAGGAATTATTCCCATGAATCTCAGCATTTGCACACTACAATAAGAATGCCATATATACACAGTTTCGAACATTCCCCATTCTGATATTGTTTCAAATATATACACCATGTTCGCTTGATCGTATCAGCCATACTTATCAATCATGATACAATGTTTTTCTCTCACAATAAAACAGCATCAGCCGACTTATAAGCCACAGAAAAGATGGTGGGCGGTGGGAGTAGGAGGAGGAGCAGCCGCAGGAAGGAGCCGTCGCCTGCCGCCCCGTCGTGTGAGGAGAAGGAGGAGGAGCAGGTGCCCCAGGAGGACGCCGAGGAGGCGCAGAAGGACGAGGAGGAGGAGGCGACAGCAAGGGGTTCCGCTTCCTCTAGTTCGTCGAGCGTCTACTTGCGAGGTCCCGCGAGCCTCCCTCAGCGACCGATACCTCGTGAGAAACACCCGCTGATTCGACCCGAGGGGGAAAAGTAAGTAACTTTAGATGTTATCACTACTTTATATGATATGTTGAAAATCAAAATAGAAACTAATAATTTTTCTTAATCACTTGGGCAAGAACTGGACGATTGTGGCGAGTGGAGGTGCTCACACACGCCAAGTCAATGGCATCCTCGGTCTTCTGTGCAAGGAGCACTTCCCTGGCCTGGTTGAGTACGCCGGAGTGACGGGGCCAGCCTACTCGTTTGACCACTACGCCGCCGCCCCCGATGCTGCAGATTGGGCCCGCAGGGTATTCAACAACAAGGCGGAGCGGGTGAAGCAAGAGTTCTGGGTAAGTCTTCCTCGTACTACATTGCTCAATACATCGCATTCATTGGACATTCTTGAAATAATGAATGGACACATCGTGTTTGTATGCAGGATTTCTTTAGATGCCAGGACAGACATGAGGCCAGGGCAGATGCGGTGGCTACCAAATGCTGCAAAAAACTCGTCGTGGACAAACATTACGAGGCGCGCATCCAGGCCGTCGTAACTTACCACGGGACCATCCTTGGAACGAAGGTCACCAAAAGGGACGCAAGAACCATGACGCTGACCGGGACCAGTACCTGCAGGTAAATACAGAACATTAATACTGATTCATTTTGAGATTAAGTAGGCTTAATTTCAACTTCTAATATGTCATGTATTTGATGGTCTGTAGATGATTCCTTATTGGTGCACCGCGCATCCCCAGTGCTGGGAACAGATGGTGGACAAGTGGTGCTCACGCGAGTGGGAGGAGACGCACAACTTCTGCCGGGAGCGGCGTTTGATGATGCCAGGTGTAGCACACCATCAAGGCAGCCGCAACCTCAGCGGATACGCTGAAACATGGGTACGCGAATTCATTTATTTATTCTAACGCTCAATTCTGCATGATCTTTAATCATCTTGCTGTTTTTCTCGCAGTCGGCATCACATGGTGGCCAGCCTTGCTCCATCTTCAAGGCATTTGCTATGGCCCACAAGGGCAAGGCGATGTCCGACGTCGACTACAACCCGAAGGACGGGCCCGAGGCATACAACAATGCGACCGTCCACAACCGCCTCAGTGAGTACACATCGATGGCAAGGGAGGTCCATGGGCCAGAGTACGATCCGAGCACCGAGGACCTTGATGGAGAAGTCGTCATGAGGGTGGGAGGAGGCAAGAAGCATGGGCGGTACTGGATTGGCGACGACGCAATCGACTCAGCCGCTACTCCCAGTCTCTCCCATATTCGAGCAAGCAGCACGAGCAGGAGCCCAGCCATACGACCTCGGTAGGACACTTCACACCACCGGGTGGAGGCACTTGAGGTTATTCCTGGTTTATTCATCGTTCATTGGTTTTTTCATACCTTCCCTTTGTATTATTGTAACATTGGGGTGAATATATTGTAGGCCCAGCTGAAACAAGAGAGGAGGATACGGGAGCAGATGCAGGCGAAGATGGAGAGGGTGGAGGTCGAGTGGGAGGCTGAGCAGCGGAGGATGGCGGAGATTCTTCAGTACATGTAAAGTCTTGGCGCCGCTATGGGTGTAGTTTCGCCACCTTCGCTATTCGCTCCACCTCCAACTCCACCTCCTCACTATTCTACTCCTGTGAGTATAAATGTTTTAGTTTGTATGTTCATGCTTACGGTTAAACCTAGTGGAGTATGAAAGTTTTATTCATGTATGGTATATATTTATCTTGTCTCACACATGCAATCTCTTCTCCTTTGTGCAGAATCAATCGGCGGCATCGAACGATCTTCATGCTTCAGCGAATCCTTCACCAAATTAGTCTCATTGGTCATCTTGGTGATGATACTTGTGGTTGTTAATGGTACTTCTATTTGCAATTGTGGTTGTAGATGATGGAGCACTTGATTACTTGTGAACTTATTTGTGATATATTGTGAGACATGTGACGTTTGTGATATATATATATATATATATATATATATATATATATATATATATATATATATGACGTTTGTGATATATATGTGGTGTTGGTGATATATATGTAATGTTGATGATATATATGTGATGTTGGTGATGTTTGTTATATATATCTTCTGTTTGTTTGGATGGGATGTAAAAAACAAATAAAAAGGTTGCTTTCAGTCACTTTGCCGAGTGCAATGGACATGACACTCGGCAAAGTGACTACCTGGGAACATGCTTTGCCGAGTGCAAAGGCCATTGCACTCGGCAAACATCACAGATTTGCCGAGTGCCACGGGCCAGGAACTCGGCAAAGGGCGCCTGTTTGCCGAGTGTCTTGATAGAACACTTGGCAAACAGGCGCCCTTTGCCGAGTTTCTAGCCCGTGGCACTCGGCACAGTGCCCACCTTTGCCGAGTGTCTGAGCCAACGACGCTCGGCAAAGCAGAGACCTTTGCCGAGTGCTTGACCTTGACACTCGGCAAAGCCGCCGTCACGGCGACTTTTCTTTGTCGAGTGTCAGATTAGCACTCGGCAAAGGCTTTGCCGAGTGCCCGACAAAGTGCACTCGGCAAAGAGGTCTTTGCCGATAAACTGTTTACCGAGCGCTTTGCTGAGTGCATGAGGCACTCGGCAAAGAAGCTGAATCCGGTAGTAAATTTGTTTGCCGAGTGCTCGAGGGAATGTACTCGACAAACATAAAAACACTCGGCAATTTGATGTTTTCGGTAGTGAAAGTAAACTGTACTTCTGAGCGTGGGTATACTAGCTACCTATGAAGTAGTTCTTCGTTACGTCGGCCGTGGCATTTACCCGCTCAATCTGCGACATCTGGCCAAATCTTCTCGGCGAGGGTCATCCGCCGCAGCAGGTCGTCAATCCTCGTGTTCAGCGCTTGCTTCGGGTCCTTGTACTTGGCGTCGCCGAGCTGATGCTCCGCCCCTCCTCCACCTGTGGCCGCCATTGCCACCGCCGCAGCCGCTGCAGTGGCACAATAAGCGCAGTACCAAAAGATGATCAACGGCGCCGCTACGCTGGCCCAGCTGCGGCTACAACTGCGCCGACGGCTCATCTTCTGCATCTCCATCGCTGGCGTCAATCACTTACAGTAGTAAGTATCACACAACTAATCACATATAGGTAAGAAGCAAAGAGACATGCATGAATGATGCTTATTACCACTTGCAGTAGTATGGTGTCTTATTATGGCTGCTGCAGCTTGAGCTGTATCATCAGTCACAACTAACAAGCTTCGCTGCCACCACACTACAGCTACTGTCGTCTCAAGAGTGGAGTAGTCTTGGCGCCGGTATCTCTCTGCTGTGTACATATTTATGGGCTACATTGGTACGACCTAGTGGTTGTATAAAAATCTGACAACTTCGCCCTAAACACGTCAATTTGCAGTTTAAATTTTCCTAGGAGTTTGGAAAACAAAATTGAAGAATAAATAAATTTGCTGGATGGAGCTAGAGCCTTTGCCATGATTGAACTGTTATATACACGAGAGCATGCTTCTCTCCGGCCGGACGTCCACATCTCTGCAACTCAGCAACTGCCCTGCGGCCTGCGCTACTATATATGTCAGCTAGCACTGCGACAGAGTATGGTCGCAAGAGGACATAAAACATATGTATAGTTCTGATTCTGATCCATCTACAATATATAAAATAGATACTTATCAATCATTCATAAGTCATCATCATCAGATCGTAATCTGTCTTCAAAGTTATCAAGATAAACTGTCTTCATAAACCGAGGCAATGGACAGGGATTTGGCGAAGCTCGCTGTGGGGCGATGGAGAGGAGGGGCGAGGGCGGAGACGGGGACAGTGATCCTCGGGGCGGTAGGGACAGAGAAAAGCCAAGGCTCTGGACGAGAGCGGACGGGGACAGAGTTGAGGATCTACAGAAACAGGTTAGGACCTCGGTGGCTGAGGTCGTAATTTAGGGGTTGGCTGTGCCGTGGCGCCCGCGGTAATACTGGTGGATATATGAGGACGATACAGGCAACATTTTGGATGCATGTATCCAAAATATTGCCTGTGTCGTCCTCATATATCCAGCGATGAGTCCTGTGAATGGTGGGAAGAAGAGCCTCTACTTTAGAATCAGTCTCCAAGAGCTGGAAGGCTTGGGGGGGCCTAGAGGAGCGGCTTATCCCCTTCGAGAGCCTCAACCTGACGGCCTCCCGCACGCCGCCGCCGCCGGCGCCGGCCGCCTCCCACGCGCCGGCGCCCCCCACCTCCTCCCTCCCTCCTCCTCCCCCTCCACCTCCACCTCCCCCACCCTCCCTACCACAGAGGTCGCTGGATCTGGCGTTCTAGCGACTCCGCGGGATCCATGGCCGCCCGCATGGGCGCTGGCGTCGGAGGCTGCCGCCGTCACGGCCAGCGGTGGACCCGAGGCCGTCCCCGCTGGATCCGGCGTTTCGGCATCTCCGCGGCCCTCCACGCAACCGGTGCTGTCGAGGTCGGGCTCCGCCACTGCTCCGTGCACGCCGACGATGATGTCGGGCGCCACTGCAGCAGCCACCGCCGGCGTCGAGCGCGCCCATGCGGGATCCACGGGCTCAGCGCCCCCTCCGCGGCCGCCTGCGCCGCCGCGGACACCGACGCCGGAAGCAGCCGCCGCGACCGCCACTGCCTCGGCCGCTCCACCGCCGCCTCCTCCCGCGGGGCCCACGCGAACGCTGCCCGGGGATGTGGACGCCACCACGGGCGCCACCACAGCCGCGGGAACCTGCGCGAGCGCCGCCCGGGGGCGCCATGGGCGCCACCACGACCGCGCCGCTGACGGCCGAGGGAGCAACCTCTGGCGCTTCGTCGCCTCCGCCGCTGGGGATGGATGCGACCAACGCCGCGGACACGGCCGGGCCCTGGAGTACCGTCACGGCATCGCTGGATGCCTCAACCTCCTCCCTCTCGCCGGCTGCGGCACCGTTCTTCCCCGGATGCTCCTCCGGTGGGCGTTCGAAGAGCCGGCGGTGGGCGGACGACGACGAGGAGGAGACCGATGACGACCACCCCGCGACATACCTGGAGGCCGCTCGTTGCCCGACGAAGCTGGCCTCGGCGTCCCCCGTGCGCCGCCAGACTCGTTCAGCCGTAGTTCTGGGGCGCCGCGGAGCGGGGCCTTTGCACGGCTGTGCTGGTGCTGAACGGGGCCGATAGGAACGTAGCCGTAGGCGGAGGAAGCGCAGCCGGTCACACCCACAGCTGGTGAACGGCTTGCCTGTGCGATCGGTGGATGGCCGTGTCCCTGCCCGCCAACGCCTCGGCCGTCGTGGACGGGTCTCCGCCCCCAACACCGATGGGTGGCGTGAGATCCTCCCCCGGCAGGTCACTGGATCTGCTGCTGCTGCCTCGACGGAGCCTCGCCCTAGCCAAGGGCAACTTTCGCAGGTCAAGAAGACCCCGGCAGATCTTCACGGCAGATGCTTCAACTACCTCTCCTACTCGCACCGAGTAGCGACCTGTCGGTTGCCACGGCGTTGCCTACGCTGTCGTGGATTCGGGCACCTCGTCAATGACTGCAGGCGAAGGAATGCTTCGACCTCGGTGGAGGTGGGTGCCGACCTGCCACGGTACTCCGCTCGCGTCGGCCCTACGTCCTCCCAGCACGCGCCGCACGGCGGGGCGAAGGGTGCCGCACCGGGGGCCGTGGGGGCGCCGGCGGGAGACGATGACAACATCGGCGACGCAAGACTAAGCCGAAGGAGATTGGCACGGGTGCGCCTGCCGACCACGCTGACAGGGCATCTACTTCTACTACTACACTAGGCTTTCCAGATCCAGATCCGGTGGCGCTGGCGCTATGCGTGAGTGCGGGCCCCCCCACATTGGTCATCTCTTTCGACCCGATGCTGGAGGAGCTCGCCGCCTCGCTCGTCGTGAGCCGGCCAATGAGGGTAGCAACACCTGAGTGTCTGCCTGCTACGACAGCCCCTCAGGAGGTTGAGGCACCAGTGGCGGACACATGTTCCCCGACGACGGCTGCTCAGTGGACGACAGACTTGTCTCTGATGTCGCCAGTGTGGGGGCCGCCACAGCTCACGCGAAGCTGCCCGATGTCTCGCACTGTTCACTGAGGAGGTGCAGCTCGTGCGAATGCCGCCTCTAATCGCCAGCCCACCCAGGCAGAAGGTGCCAACCATAGGGCAACCCATGCCAAAGCGGAGCAGATGGATTGCCGCTCAGCCACTGGCGCACATTCCGATCTCCAAGCGGGGCGAGGTGCTCCTCATGCGGAGGATGGGCTTTGCACCACCGGCAGGTCCGATCTCATCCGCGTCCAAGAGAGCTTACGACGACTTTTCCGCAAGGAATTGGACGTCGAGCGAAGTGGAAGCGCTGGACGAGCTATTCCCGGCTACCGCTGCTACGATTGGTACAAGGCTCTTCTCGGATGACGAAGCAGAGTCGCGCCGCCATTAGCGGAGACGCAAAGCTCCGTAGGTTACTGCACTGCTCGTAGTTCGGTTGTTACTTTTATGTAATATCGAAGTTTAAAACAGTCACCTAAGAAGGTCCAGTCAAACTGTAAGACCTCCTAGGGCGTTCATTAGAAGCGCGTCGTGTGTATTGTTAAACTCTTCTTCTTCTTAATTATAATGATACGTAAATCTTTTGCGTATTCGAGAAAAAAAAAGTCATGTGAACGGTGACACAGCTTAGCGGCCGAGCTCCTGAGTGGTAGTTGTTGAGCAACGGCAAGGTGGCGCCATGCACACTAGAGGTACCCACAAAGTTGGCAAGAGATCGATGCGGCACATGATGCCTTAAATAATAGAACCGCATTATTGCTTTGGCTTGCGCGGATGTCTTTAGATTGGTTGTTCGAGGCGGCCGGTTTGATGTGTCTGATCTTTAGCGAGGCAACATGGATGCGAGGGGCTACATAGTCGCCGACCGAATGCTGTTGAATGCTGTTGTTCATGCATCGGTTTCGTGCTTTGCAGCGGCCTACGGCAGCTATCCTTGCAGAGGATGGTCCGGTGCGGACAATGTCGACAGATAGGCGCAAGCGGCAACATTGGTTCAGCAACTAGACAGCTTGCAGCGACCTGCTGTGGATTGCTCTGTATGGTAGTTGCTTGCTAGGTGTGAGACATCGTTTTTATTGGCAAGGCGCAAGCAGTGACGATCGTGGTGAATCGACTTGGTAGTGGTGTGGCTCGATGGTGTGGTTTTGTTGTGCAGCTCCTGTTGATGTCTCAATGAAACCGGATTACGTTTGTTGTTTTTAATTGTTAGTTTAGCTTGACCTTTTGTGGTCTCATCGTGATATTGTATTTCAGTTGCATTTACCGAGTCTGGGTTCATCTTCTTTTAATAGAATTGATAGCTCTCCTGTCTGTTTCATTTTTTTAAATAAGCAAGAATCTAGCACAAGAATACAATCATGTCGAGGAGGAGACACCATTACATTATCCCTGAGCTTATTATTGTCTACTACAATACTACTCACATGGATCAAGTAGGTCGTCTAAGTATATATGGCAAACTAAAATGCAAATGACACTCTGGAACCTAAGAAATAACAAAATTAGAAAAAATATATCACTACCAGTTTGTTATAAGAGCCAGCAGTGATGGTATAATAGCACTGCCGGTTCTTATAACGAACCGGCAGTGATGGTAGACACAATACTGTCGGCTTCAACAAAGTGCCGGCAGTGATCATGTGAGAACACTATCGGTTTGAGTCACGAACCAGCAGTGTGCTGGTCAAGAGAACACTATCGGTTTGAGTCACGAACCAGCAGTGTGCTGGTCAAGAGAACACTGTCGGTTTGAGTCACGAACCAGCAGTGTGCTGGTCAAGAGAACACTGTCGGCTTGTGTCACGAACCAGCAGTGTTGGTCGAGAGAACACTGCCGGCTTATGTTAGGAACTGGCAGTGTTAGCTCAACGGGACACTGTCGGCTCGTGTCACGGAACCGGCGGTGAAGGGTTTGAGACTTGGGGCAGTGACTCTCTAGATATTTCACCGTGAAGTCTAAGAATTTACTTCAGATTATTTTGAACCATGCAAACTTTGCAAAACTTCCAACGTGTCAACGACCATAGAGATTATTACCCTCTAATATGTGGACGGCTGTGTCTCGAGGCCGAACCCAAACGGGAACAGTGGATCATAGTGCGCATCGCCGACGTTCATGGGCAGCTGATCCACGGACCGGAACCACGTCCTCGACAGCTTCCCGGTGAACCCGTAGTCGCCAAACAGCACGTCGCTGACGCCCTGCCCCTCCGTCCCCGGCAGCCACGCCGCCACCAGCGCGTCCATGCCGTCAATGAATGGCTCCACCACCAGCGGCCGCCCGGAGACGAGCACCACGACGCACCTGATGCTGTCGCACACGTTCCGGATCACGTCTGGCCCTGGCGCAGGGATGGTCAGGTTCAGGTTGTCACCGTGCGTCTCGGCATAGGGAGGCTCGCCGACGACGACGATGGCGTAGTCAAACCGTGCCTTGTTCTGCTGGACGAAGCCCGCGTCTGGATTCTCGGAGTAGACGACGTCGGTGCTGGGGGCGACGGCGCGCTTGATGCCGTCGAGGATGGTGGTCCCGGTGGTGAGGTTGTTCCCCGTTTGGCCCTGCCAGGTGATGGTCCATCCGCCGCACTGGCTGCCGAGGTCGTCAGCGTGGCTGCCAGAGACGAGGACGCTGCCGCCATAGGAGGGCTTCTTGGGAAGCGGCAGCAGTGGCTTGGCACCGGGCTTGCCGTTCTTGAGGAGGACGAGGGACTTGCGCACGGCCTCGCGCGCCAGGTCGCCGTGCTTCTGCTTGCCGAGCTCGCCAACGAGGCTGGTGTCGGCGTAGGGGCTCTCGAAGAGACCCATAGTGAACTTGACGCGGAGGATGCGGCGGACGGCGTCGTCGATGCGGCTCATGGGGATGGTTCCGTTCTGCACCAGCAACGTGAGGTCGTCGATGAACTCTGTGTACCTGTATGGAATCATGACCTGGAACAGTCGGAACATTCGTCAAGTGATGCATGATGGTGAAACACCCAGGTTATACTGCATACAAATGCCGGTAGTAGGTTCTCCTTACCATGTCAATGCCAGCAAGGATGCCCAGCTTGATGGACAGAAGGTAGTTGGCATGTTCTGGGTTTGTGATCCTATCGAGCCCTAGCCAATCCGAGATCACAAAACCCTGAAATATACATGTGAGGAAAAAATGGCTTATTGCAACCTTAAAGATCACCAGGCTAAGCATGCACACAGTGTTAAATCGCGGGCTAAGATATTGGCAGCGGCAGCCTCCTTCAGAAAGCAATAAAAAACTATAGCAACACATAGCGAAACCTAATTAATGGGGAGGCATAGATTATAGTATTTTAGACTAAAGAATAAATATATGCTTCGGTTAGGATTAGTGGTGCTAAAACTATTCATGGCTATTGAATCACGATGTTTAGCCAAAGTAAAGCATCATTAGTGGCAATAGAGAAACAATTGTAATATCTAGTGGAGTTCTTCTATTTAAGTATAGTATAAATAATACTATAATGAAATCATTTCCTCGGAAAAAAGAGTTGCACATTTGTACCCTGAAACGGAGCCTGGTCTTGAGGAAGTCGGTGACGAGGAAGCGGTTGGCGTGCATCTTGACGCCATTCCAGCTTGAGTAGGAAACCATGATGGTGGAGACACCCCGAATGACGGCGGTGTAGTAGGGCGGCATGTGGATGCCAAGCAGCTCGTGGAAGGTGGCCACTGTGTTGTTCTCGTTGATTCCCCTGGTGGTGCCGCCATCGCCGACGTAGTGCTTTGCGCACGCCGCCACATTGTGCTGCCCGGCAACGTAGGGCGCGCCGAGGCGACCACTCGCCGGGATCTCACCCTGGAAGCCGGAGATGATGGAGGTCATGTTCTGCACTAGCTCCGGGTGTTCGCTGAAACTCTCGTAGCACCGGCCCCACCGAGGGTCTCTGCACACCTACACAAAAATCAAAGTTAAACGATCAAGAGTTATACAAATTTACTCTATATTATTTTAGCAATTTAGCGTGATGAGATGTTAATTGCACTACATATGCATACCGCCAGGCATGGAGCGAAGATGAAGGGGATTCCGGTGGCTCTGACCTCCAATGCAACTGCTGCTCCGATCTTCCTTGCGAGCTCTGTGTCTCTGAACCAGTAAACACGTTTGATGTGGACAAAATAGTCACTAAACACCAGCATTATTTTGTTTACTTTTTTTGTGACCCATTAAAGTTCTTTGATGAAGGGCGGGTCTGGTGCAAGCGGTAGAGTCTTACCGCCTGTGACCGGAAGGTCCCGGGTTCGAGTCGCGGTCTCCTCATATTGCACAGGCGAGGGTAAGATTTGGCACAAACACCCTTCCTCAGACCCGCACAGAGCGAGAGCTCTCTGCGGTACGCCATTAAAGTTCTTTGATGATGAAAACCATGTGCTCCTATTTGAACTGGGCATTGTGTCGAGGAGAAGTAATCCAAGAGCATTAAGCATCTGACAATCTTATCTCTTCAAGCTGTCTCGCACTACCTCGACACACATTACAATACATATATTGTATGATCTATCTACCTACTTCAAGCTGACATCGATCGCAATGTCTTGGCACTTAATTACTGCATCACCTTTTTAAACAATCATTATATAAACTGTTCGACCCTAAATCTAGGATACACACACCTTAGTAAAACCTCTTAGACACGGGAATCTTTACAAGGTATCGCAACTACTCTCTATCTATACTGTAAGTAGTAGGACTAGTACTCTATATATGAAATATTTTAGTTCTTGATGGATCGACGATCGAGCCAAGCAAAGGGACAATAGCCTCGATCAGTCGGTAGATGCCAAGCTAACGGCATGTGGACCCTTAATTCAGATCTTGGATCTCAATATACATTAACGATTTCTATATAATAGGAGTAATAACATTTTGGAACAGGGTATATACAAAGACTTATTAGAGCATCTATAGCTAGTGGGCTCCTATTCATGCCCATATCGTACTTTTCTAATTAAGTTGGTGGACAAAAACCCACTCTAACAGAGCATCTAGCTACTCATGCCATCAAAAAAATAGGATCGGAGGCTTTCAAATTCCCCGCTCAAGTCCTTATTCCTATGGCCCCTCCCCTACAGCCCTACTTTTCTATTTCACAACATTTATCTTCTACTTTTGTTTCGGATCCCATGCTCACGCCAGACCACCGCCACCACAAGCCAGAATGACCCCTTGCTCCCTACATCCATCACCACCGCACTCTCTTCTACGGGCTTCCACTACCTGCACATCATCTGACAGCTTCCATTATCCTTGTGACCTCCTCTTGATGGCCTCTACTACCACAGGCCCTCCCTTGGGCTATCTCCACCACCCGAGCGCCCTCCCGGTGGCCTCCACCGGCAAGCGCCCCTCCCCTAGCACTCTCCACGTATGCCCTAGATCCACCATTCACACGCCCTCTTTACCTGGCTCCACCACCTGGGTGCCCTCCCCCGGCAGTCTCCATCGCAGTGTGCTCTTCTCGGCAGTCTCCACCGCGCGTTGCGTGCTCTACCCGGTGGCCTCCACCGCCCACTCCCTCCACCGGATCTTGTGGAGCACCTTTGGTCCATTCACTCCACCTAGTTTGATTAATGAGACTATGTTTGTCTTGTATGGCACTTTATTTGCTTTTTAAATTTTTGAATTTAAATTTGAATTGATGTTTTTTGATTTTGTGGATTTGAATATTGGCCATTTCATTTGTATAAACTCAAAACTTTTTTGTTTGAACTTATGTCGGGTCAAATAACATAATACGTAGAGAATGTAAGACGAAGGGAAAATAGAAGGTAGAGTCCAGAAAATAGGCCCTTAATTGAAAGTAGCGGAAGCTCCTACATAAAAATAAGGACCCTGATTCATAGGCTTCTGGTGAAGAAACTCTTAGTTTGTGCCTTTGTACGTGGTTTGCTTATCTTCTCTCTCATTCATCTCGACCAAAGCCTGATGTGACAATTGATGCGGCACGCTTATATACCACCTTATTATACTCGCTGTAAGTCTAGGATACCAACCTATATAGCGTAAAAAAACTCCTTGGACGGCCACACGGGAATCTTTACGAGGTAGCAGGGCAACTACTCTCTATCTACACTACCAGTACTTAGCTAGGACAAGTAGTCAACATATATATAAATATTAATGTTTATATGATCGATGGAGGATCGTGCCAATGCAAGCAAAAGGATAATAACCTCTGTCGATAGATGCCAGGCATGGCATGTGGGCTCTTAATTCAGATCTTGGATGTATACAAAGACTTAGCTTGGATGGGGTCAACAATGTCGATGAGTTAGTAATTACCTGGTGCATCCGAGGCCGACGTTGTGCGGGAAGACGGTGGCCTTGTAGACGTAGCCGTGGCCGTGGACGGCGTCGATGCCGAACATCACCGGGATCCCGAGGCGAGTCGACGACACCGCCGCGCGCTGTATCTCCTCGACCATCTCCACCCACGCCTCCGGCGGAGCGCCGGCCGCCGGCACGCTGCCGCCGCCTCTGAGCACGCTCCCTATGAAGTACTTTCTGATGACGCCAGCGGTGGCATTCTCCCGGTCGATCTGCGACATCTGCCCGATCTTCTCGGCCAGCGTCATCCGCCGCAGCAGGTCGTCGACCCGCGCGTTCAGCGGCTGCTTCGGGTCTCTGTACTTGGCGCGGACCTGTTGTTGCTCCCCTCCGGCGACGTCCGTGGCTGCCGCCGCTGCCAGAGTAAGAGCAATGCAGCAACACAGCTGGAGAAGGAGCAAGGCAGCAGCGTCGACCACCGCCCTGCAACTACCACCTCCTCCATGGATCCCCATGGCTCTAGTGGTGTGGACTGGTGGACTACTGTATATGGAGTTCCTGGGTTGCTTCCTCTTGTCTTAGTTTGTATTTGTGGGCATGCTGAGTGACCAAAGTATATATCCAAACAAAAACATTTTGGTGAGCTAGAGCTTGACTGGCGACCACGTTGTTCAGTACTAGAAACAAAAACAGGAAGAGGGCGCATCGTCTGTCAGGTAGTTTTAGGCAGGTGATATATTCTATGCAAAGTTGCAAACTTGGTGCGAGAGTTAAACCACGCAGATTCAGCAACCAACTCAGCATACAAAATTCTAAGCATAGGTAGACCATGAGTGATATACCAAGCTTTCTAATTTTTTATTCTCTCTTGTGTAGGGAAGGAGATTAGGAGAAGGAGGAGTGAGGGGGCAGGGACCAGGATCTAGGGGGTTGGGGTGTTTATATATACTCCGTACATTGCATTCAACGGTGCTCGTTTCAACATCTTTATCACTCTGAACATTACAATCAAAAACTACCGCATGGAGGTGGGGATCTAGGGTTCAGATCACATCAGAGGTTTCATTGAGCACATGCAATGCTTAGCATGTTGGAACCGAGGATCGACGGACGATCACGCGAACATGAACAATAGACATAGACTTGCCGGCGACGAACGCCTGTATCATGGTTTCTATTATTCAAACACACGACTCGGCTCAGGTTGAGCTGACATATCACATTGGCTAATATAGCCCACGACGTTGGGTCATGCAAGAGCCACGAACTCTGCGTGCACCACGGACGCGCATGATCCACATGAACCGCTCAGCCCTCTCCTGTGCTCGCTCCACTGCATGCCTTCAACGCTAGCTGCTAGCTCCTAAAGACTCGGCCACCACCTTGAGTCCTTGACTCAGCTAATAAACTAGAAATAGAATACATGCACACACACGCTAACTAACCAACTGACTTGAACACACTCAAAGTCATGATTATCCTAACAAACTCCCCCTAATCTTGACTTGTCGTTGCCGGAGTTGCTGCAGTTGTCGTCGTCATCATCACCACAGCCACCGCTACAGCCTCCCGACCTGACGCGGCCACCTCTGCATGCCCTATCTCCGTGCGAACGCCGTAGCCTTCTTCTCAGTGACACACACTGCTTCTCTGACCGGCGACACACACCGATACTCCGACCGGCGACACACGCCGATACTCCGGCTCCGCCTCACCAAGGCAACTGCGTGCCCCGCACCTCCACAGACCGACGCATGGCCCGAGAGCTTCATTGCATCGTAGCTACTGGCGAACGCCGCCACCACCAGCACGCCTTAGTCATACCAAGGCAAGGACCGACGAACGGACCATTGCCATGGTGCCTCATGCCGCCATAGGCACGCACTCAGGGACCGACACACGGCCCGATGCCTCAGCGCGCTACGGCCGTTGATCGCCACCTCGTCCCGGCTGCCACCAGCGCGAACGAATCCCACGCCGAGGCTTTGGGATCTCTGCCATGCCACCGATGACGTGCTTCACCACGATCGTACGTGGTGCGCCATCGCTAGGGCTGTTGGAGCTCGAGTCTCTAACCTTCAAGGTCAACATCCAACATCTTCAACTTGCTCTCCACTCCCTAACCTGGCTCTGATAACAATTGTTGGAACCGAGGATCGACGAACGATCACGCGAACATGAACAATAGACATAGACTTGTCGGCGATGAACACCTGTATCTTGGCTTCTATTATTCAAACACACGACTCGGCTCAGGTTGAGCTGACACATCACATTGGCTACTATAGCCCACGGCCTTGGCTCATATCCGCATGAACCGCTCAGCCCTCTCCTGTGCTCGCTCCTCCACTATATGCCTTCAACGCTAGCTGCTAGCTCCTAAAGACTCGGCCACCACCTTGAGTCCTTGACTCAGCTAACAAACTAAAAATAGAATGCATGAACACACACGCTAACTAACCAACCGACTTGAACACACTCCAAGTCATGATTATCCTAACATAGCAAAGGGAGGAGATGGATGTGGGGATGGTGCTGTAGTGGAGGATAGTGGCAGTGAGAGTGCAGGGTCTCGGAGGTGGTCGGAGATGGCGGTGGTGGTGCTTGGGGATGACGATGAGGGAGCAGGGGTTGGTGGCAATGAGGGCAACATTCCCCGAGGGCGGCGATGGTCCTTGAGGATGGAGGTGTTGCTCTTCCTCAGAGGCACTTGGTGACCGAGGTGGTGGCTACTTAGGGTCAAGAGTTAGGGCACTGGGGTGGTGGCGATGAGGGAGGCATTCCTCAGGCGAGGAGGTAGTCTTGTAGTGACTGGGCGATGGCAGGGAGATGAAATGGTGGCGCGGGGAAGTGATTTTGGAAGGGACACACTTATTGGTTATATATAGGGAAGAGATTTCACTATCGGGTCAGCACAACACCTGGCAGTGATGCTCTCATATCACTGTTGGGTTGACACCACGCGACAATAAAACGAGTCTACCATTGCCGGGTTGGTACCACACGGTAGTCAAAGCATCTATCACTATCGGGATGCTACCACCCGACAGTGACGTACATCTATCAATGCTAGGTCGAGCTCACCCAGCAGAGATGACCCTTGGATGCCGTTGATGGTTATGTGTGATCCAATAGTGATTCTCATGATGCCAACTTCATTCTTGCCACAACGTTTTAATCTAGTTTTCTTGTGAAAAATGTTATAAATGTTAAATCAATAATTTCTACAAAAAATGTGGTATGCCGTATCCTTGAAAAATACGAATGCATGTTGAATGTTCTTGTAACATGTATGACAAATAGATTTGTTTTTAATATATTTTATTTAGTAATAAACTAGATATATGCCCGTGCGTTGCACAGGTAACGAATTTGTATCCATGTGTACAACGATGCACCTTTCTTATGGTTCAACCGAACATATTAACAAATTTTTATCCATGTCTATGACGATGCATATGGCTTGTTGTTTCGACGAACATACTAAGAAACATACAAATTTGATTACATAAAGCATATTTTTTTATCTTTATGACCTATATCATGTAGATTTGGTTTATAGAAACCTAATAAAATTGGTTTTATTTTTAAATTATTATTTGTGTGTTTTATTATTTTATATTTTCAAAAATTAATAAAAATCTAATTAATACTTGTGCATTTGGACCCTAAACTATTTCTAAATTCTCTAGGTTTTCCTTCTTCTATGTGGTCGTGGTAGACTAATGTGCCACGTTGTTACCTGCGGGCATCAAGCGAATCACCATGTAACGGACTCGTATGTTACGTGCGACCAGGAGTCCATCCGTTCTTCCCACGACACGTCGTTCCTTCGTTCCTGCTCTCATAGGAGGGCAAGCGGGGTGTAGACACGCGGCCACCCACGCACGAGGCGAGCGGGGTGTAGACGCACGGGCATGCGCTGACGGGTGAGCGTTTGCAGGTGTCCGCCGCCGGCGGCACAGGCTGGAGCTAGGGCGCGCACACGCGGGCGAAGCAGAGCACACGACGAGCACGTCACAGAGCGCGGCGGGTTTTGCGGCCGCCGCCAGCACATACTGGCATCGCGTCGCCCGCGTCCATGGTGAGACGCGTGCTCCTACGTGCGCTGGGACTACGCACGGCAACAGGTCACAGTTGCCCACCGCCGCCAGCGCAGGCTGGAGCTATGGCGCGCGTGGGGGCGTGATTTGTTTGAGAGGAAGTGGGGCTCAACACGGACCCACGCGGGCGGGGCGACGCAGGAGCATGCGGGGTTCACGTACCGGACTCGCCATTAAACTAGAGCGGAGCGAATAATACTTGGTATCTGGGCGACACGGACTCTCGTACAGTGACCTCATATTTCCTTAACTCGGGATAAATGTTAGGATGTGTCAAAATTTGAGGTGCATATATATTAAAATTGATCTGAGGTCTGCAAGCTTCCAAGTTTGACTTGAGTTACATGAAACTATGTTATAGGTCTATGCATTTTGTGAAGGGAAAGGCTAGCGCCCGGACGTCTGGACGGGGGCTAGCGTCTGGATGCCCGCGCCGCACGCCTGCTTCACGTGGGGCCCCGCACTGCTCTGTGTCCCAAGCCTGCTCCGTGTCCCACACCCGCTTTGTCTCGATCTGCACTCACACGGTTTCCCACGCTGCCGCTCGCGCTCCCTCCACGCCCACTCGCATGCAGGTGGGCCCAGCAGCTGTAGCAGGCAGCCATTGCAGATGGGGTCCACTTTAACATGTGTAACACCAGATCTACTTTTGAAACATTTAGAGGAAACATTTGCAACATACATCCAAAATAGTTGAAACACTTGCAACATACGTCTGAAACACGAGGAAAACACATGTGTAGCCATTGCAAAACATATGCAACATTCAGACGAACACACTTGCAACATATGTGTGTGAAAACATTTGTAACATAGTGATGAAACAATTGCAACATGAGTGTGAAACATATGCAACACCTAGACAAAACATGTGCAACATTCGTTTGAAACCGCCAAAACATTTGGAATAAATGCTTACAACATACGTGTATAGCCATTGCAACATCCGGATATACTTTTGTGACATCCACATGAAACATTTGCAACATGCATATGAAACACCTGAAACACTTGAAACACACGCTTGCAACATCCGAGGAATGAACGGAGCGCGCAGTGCAGCTAGAGAATCCCGCTACGGGTCTGGCCACTCCGGATCTCGTGATGTCGCGAGCTAAAATCGACCATCACGGCGGCGCCTGCGTCGACAGTGGCCATGACCACCTGGTGGGGAACGGCGGTGGCGGTAGCATGCACCTCGACGCAGCGAGGAATGGGGCACGACGCACAGGGGCGGTGACCGGGCATGACGTGATAAGGCAGAGTGGACACAGCGGGGGATGGAGCACGGCGCTGCAGCAGACGTGGCGCGGCTCGATGCGGGATGGGGGCGCCGCCGCGAGGCGGCTTGGGGTGCACAGAAAGCGCGGTGAGCCATGACTAGCGAAGCGAGGAGTTGGGGATTTCTGTCG